AGCTCCCTTTTTGGGTGGAACATTGTTCTATAAAATCATTACACGGCACCTATACGACTGTCTAACCAAGACAACCACGTAGCCGTTTCCCGGACAAGGATATCTCTCACTTAACTGACTAATCACGTCAAGCAAGTGTTCGCAGTAACCATCCGGGTCAACCGACCGACTGAACTACTTGGGATAAGAACAGTTGGTATTTTATGAGTTAATAGCCAACAAACATTGGCGAATAAAGGGGAACAACCGGTACCCACCGCTTGATACTTCTACTACTCAGTTACTTGGCGACTAGGTAACAATCATGTTTACTTGGTCACTCCTTAAAAATTTAGTATGAAACTAAAAAGGTGTTCATACAGCACCTGTTCACACTAGATTAAATATGGCGGGGAACAGTCGGCCTAGACGGCCTAAAGTCTCTAGCCTAAAAACATGACAAGTAGGAAACCACGTTCCTACTTGGTTAATTTTACAAATGACAGGACCGCCTGCCTAAAGGGGATCCAGTCTTTAAAATGGTTCGAATACCGATTGGATAAATGGCCGACTGATCGTCTAGCCTGGAAACAGACAACCAGTCGTCCAGGGGCATAGGCGGCGTGACTAACTATCCGTACCTGTCTGCAACTATCGGCCATGTAAAACAGTCGGTATAGTGTACAATTGGATATCAGAATATTCAATACTTAAACAAATTTGAAGCAAAACAAAAATATTCATTAAAAGGAAGCCGGTCATTAAAGACCGGCAAAATATTCAGAGCCCCGGCCCCCTGGCCGGGTAAATACAAACAAACGGCACGCAGGCCGGGGAAAGAAGACATAAAGCTTATGAAGGGGGCAGATCTTCAATATTAGCAGTTGCCGCCTGGTCAGCACTCTTTTTGCTGGACTCGGCTTCAGCTGCATCCTTCTTCGATGCATTACCCCCAAGCGGCACAAGCGCCACTACCGGCTGCTCCTCCTCCTCCAACGCCTCTTCCTCAGCAGCCGCCAGGATCTCTTGATTATATCTATCAGAACACTGGCGGTACGTTTTTTCCCAGGAGGCAAAGTCGGCATTGGGGAAGAGGCGGCCCCAAGTCATGCGCTGGATTTGAGCAGAGTCTTCCATCATCTCCCGGACCAGCTCTTTCTTTTCTTGCTCGGCCTTTTCCGAGAGCTCCTGAGTAAGACTCTTCTCCTGGGTCACCAGGCGTTCCTTTACGCTCGCCAAGGATTTCTCCAAGGTTTCGTATGAGGACATCTTTTGGCGAAGAGGTCTCATCTCGGTCTTGAGGTTGTTGATGGTCGCCTCCAGCTCGCTATTCCTCTTCTGGGCCGCCTCTAACTGAGCCCGGATAGCGGCGGTAGCCTGCGCCTGATAATGAAGAATATCAATTGTCAAAACTTCATTTTGGGCAATTTGAAACATTGCCTTATCACAGTCAGAGGCGGCCATAGCTTTTGCAGCCTTTACCTCTTTGTTCTTTCGATCAAGCGGCTTGCGAAGGCCGTTCACTCGGAGCAAGGCCTAAGTAAAAAGGGGAGCAGGCGTCAGTTTCCTAACAAAAAAGAAAACAGGCGTCCTGGAATTCAAATACTCAAAAATATGCTAAGTATACCTCAGCAAGGACCCCTGCAATCCCGTCTAGGTCAAGGGTGCCGACACCCCTGACCGCCTCCCTTTCAGCTGGAGGTACGGCCTTGATCATAGACTTGGCCACTTCGACCAAGTCAGGCTCCTGAGGGCCGGCTGCATCAAGCATAAACAAACGGATTAGACCTAGTAAAGAAGGGAGCATGTCTAAAATTTACAAGGACAATTTCATACTTCTAGGTGGCCCAGCTGGAGTTTTAGAAGAAGTGGCCGGCTGTTTCTCAGCCGCCGCATGTTTCCTGGCAGAACCAGGAGAGCTCGCAACAGTCGTCCTCCGGGCCTTGGGGTCCGGCTGTTGGGAAGAAGAAGCTCTTGGAGCGCCCGTCTAAAAAAGAAGAAAAGAGTCAGTATATGCATAAACACAACTCCAAAAAGAGGGTGAAAGGTTCGAAGCCCACCAAGGGTGCCCCCTTGTTGGGGGAGTCGGTTGAAGGCTGTTTCATAATGGAGGCCCGCAACATGGCCGCCGCAGTCTTGGAGGCGGTAATTTTGCTCATGGCGTCCGCTGCAAAAACAAATAGCAAAGTTAATAAAAGTCATAACAAGAAATGCACGGAACAACAGAGTATTCGACAGGCCGGCTACCTCTTGAGCACCGACAGCTGAGGCCACAGGCGGCCAAAAAGTACTCGTCGTAGAGCCATTTGAAGCTCGGGACGCAGTGCAGGGGTACTTGCTCTCGTACCCCTGAAGTAGAGTTCACCTTCGACTCTACTTTGAAGAGTCCTTTATCTAGGATCTCTTTCTTAGCCTTGGGGGGAACAGGCGGCATGCTGCGGCCGCCTGCAAGAAGGGGCGGATTCCTGTTCCACCTGTTGAAGCGCTTGTTCAGCTCTGTGTCTGAACTCTCAATGATAAGGAAGGTGCTCCGCCAGTCCTTCCATTTGTTTGCTTTACCTCTTGTCATGAGGTAGCCCCTGTGGCTCGTCAATTGATACCAGCCGGTACCGCCTGCCTTAGGGGTCCTGCTGAGGTAGTTCATGTGGGCGAAAGCCTCGAAGTTCGGCTCCACCCCGTGCAGTTCGCACCCGGCCACATAGCCGAGTACGTTGACCCAGGAGTTCGGGGCTAACTGCCATAACCCCAACTCATACCCATCCAAGATCCGCTGAACAGCCGGATGTAGTGGGAAGCGCAGCCCAGCCTTGATGGCCACCTCGTAGCAGCCAAAGCAGGCGCCATCATAACTGGTACCAGTCGGCCAGACGACTGTGTCTTCTGGATCTGGCACGAACACTAAAAAGCCGGGGCCCATTGTGTGGTTTGCGATAAAGCTCCCCACTTTCTCTTGCATGGCCGTGATCCGGCCCCGAGGTACCGTGCAGTAGTAGGGGGTATTTTGCTCTCGGTGAGAGGCGGATGGCTCCGCCCAATCGTCCCCCTTCTCAACTGCGTGAGAAAGCCTCGCCTCTTGTAGGCGACTGTTTTTCTCTTCTGTGTCCAGAGAAGCATGGCCAGAAGAGCTAGACTCGGATTCGTCCTCTGACGAGTCCGAAGAGGACGACTCCTCCCCTCTCCCGGAGGGGCCCGCCTCCTCTCCTTTAAAAGGAGCAGGAGAGAATGTAGAATTGTCAACTGTAAAATGGGAAGGGGTCACTTTGACTCCTCCCTCAGAACTGCCGGCTTTCAAGCCGCTTTGTTTCACTTCCACATCTGGCGCCTGGTCAGATGTTTCACTAATCGGCACCCTGTGGGAGGAGCCGTCTGAGTTTGAGATCCTGGCAGTCTTTTTTGTTCTGGCCATCATGCTCTGCATAGACACAGATACAGTCGGACTTTGTATAAAGGGCAAAGATGGTTCCAGAAAAGGGCAGGCGGCACTCCTAGTCCTAGATTCAGCCGTCCCCGGTGACCGGCTGATCACTAACCTAGGTCGTGTCGTGTGCTTCCGTGGTGCCATTTCAAAAAAAGAATAAAGAGAAAATTAAGAGTAAGAGAACCGACGGTTACCTGAACGAGTGACGATTGATGAAGTTCTGAAAATCCTTTGCAGTCGGCTTGTCAGAGCAGGCGGTAGGCAGAAAGGGTCCAAAATGTCAGAGCAAGTTCAGGGGTCCGAATGTTCTCTCACAAAGTTTTCAAGTGTGAAAATGACCGAAGTCAACACTCCTTTATATAGGCGAAGTGAGAAGGCGAGGGGTCACTTCCAGAATTCAAAATTTTGGCGGGAGAATCTCTCAGCCTCTCGCCGAGTGACACCTGTAGCAGGCCGTCGCCTGTTACAGGGCGACACCTGTCACAGGTAACACGTGACCAGTCACGTGCCACCTGTGAGGGGCAAATGATTAGGGGATTTTGCTCTCACCAATCGGAATGCGCCACGTGGGCCAATCAGGTCCTGCCAAGTGTCCCCCAGTTGGACCTCTCAGGGCTTGCCACGTGGCAAACGCTTATTCGTCCACCCTGGACTTATTATGTCATGACACGTGGCATACTCCATGCCTAATGGAGAAGCCGGCCACCTAGGCCCAACTTCCGAGGGAAGCCCAATCAGCCCAAGGTTAACCTAAACATAGATTGGCACGTTTCCCGAGGTTATAAATACCTCCCTTAATCCTCATTAAGGGAGAGGACGCAGATTACACACATTAAACACTCTCACTTAGAGAGACCCAATCACTTTAATTTCCGCATTAATTACTCCTTAATCAAGTACTAACTTGACCGTCGGAGGCGGATCTCCAATCATCCGGAGCATCCGTTTGTTTTGCAGGTACAGGCGTCCGGTTCCAGTCTCGGAATTGTAACTCTCCCGCAGGACATCAGAAAACCCCGAAACATTTGGTATTTGAATTTATTTATATTATTATGCAGATTATTTGATTTTAAATAGGCTTAAAACAAAGCATTGTATAATAGTGACAAATATGGGCAACGAGTAAACTTGTACAAACTATTATGGGCAAAGAAAACGAATTTGACGCCCAAAATAACAAATATAGGGCAACACTAAAATTCGTTGTACAAAATATTATGTGCAACGAAAACTAATTTGTCGCCCAAACTAACAAATATAGAGGCAACGAGTACATTCGTTGCCCTAAACATTATGGGCGACGAAATGGACCGCATATAGGCCACTAACTAATTTGTTGCACATAATAACCTTGTGCAACGAATTAGCAAGTCGTCGCCCAAGATATAATGGGCTTCGAGCCTTGGGCTTTGAACCCTTGTCCAGGCTCAATTCGTTGCCCAAGACTGTGGGCGACGAAACATTGATTTTGTGCTTCAAGTTTAGTCGTTGCCCAAAGTCAAAATTCTTGTAGTATATAAGAAGCTAAAATCTGAACTTAGAGGAACATTTACAATTGCTAGTCGTTGATATATGTTGCTTATTTGATAAATGAACAAAGAAGTTTTTTTTTTAAAGGGAAAGGTGAGAAGGCAATATTATTCCAAATCGAAGTCCACCAAAGTTTGGATACTTTGGGGAAAGTTGTTCATACACTCTAACTCCGAACACCCGTTTGTGTCCCATCTTGAAACAAGATGAGCAGTGGTATTGCCCGTTCTCCTTAAATGAATAAAAGCAATTACATTAACATAATTAGCTAACATTTAAATATCCTCATAGATAAAAAAAACACGGGCATATTCCACAAGCTTGCTTGTTAATGGCTTGAACCACCTCCAAAGCATCTGACTCCACCCATACATTGTTGTAGCCGAGTCTTCTCACCAACTGTAGCCCGTAGCAAACAACAGCAACCTCGCATTAGCAGCAGGTCAAGACCCCTTCACCCTTTTTACTGCAGCGAGCAGTAGCTTCCCCTCATGGCTTCTAACAACAGCACCTAACCCCATATAGCTTGATCTTGCAATGTGAGCATCAATGTTTATTTTTATTACCCCTTCAGGAGATACAAACCAACTTGCAGAAGATATACAACGAGCAGGACTTGTTGTAGTGCTTCTGACGAGCTCTGAGTAAAAACGATAGTCATCAACCAATTGCACTAAACCTTTGGATGTAATCCCTGGATTGAGATTAATTTGTTCATGAACAAAGTAGTTTCTACAGAACCACACTGCCCAGCAATTTGTCATTAGTTTTCGAAATTCACCTCTCTTCAGCCTGTTTGCATACCATAGTAGTCTAGGCACATGATCCATACCAGCCACAACCTGAATCAAATCTGAAAAATCACTATGCTCCCAAATGCATATAACATTATCACAATCAAACAATACATGGCTAATAGATTCCACCTCAACCCTAAAACAAGAATTAATGCTCCTTTGATAATAATAAACAAAAAAAAAAAAACAAAAAAAAAAAAAAAAAATTAAACATCTCACATACTTTATACTTGGATTAGTGATCTCAAATTTTTGTTTCTGTTCTATACAAGCAAATGAGATTACAAAGTAGTTTAACGCACCCCAGAAGACCAGGTCTAACAACAGTAACAAGCAAAAGGCACAAGTTCAACACTGCTGCACTTGGACTAGCGCTAGTTGCAGCAGCCCCTGGTCCATTTGTAATAGTCCCTATGTAGGAACCCTCACATACTATGATGTTAACTGTGCCAGATTGCACATCAGCAGGTTTTGCAATTGTACGAGCAGCAGCACACTTCGGGGCAAATACCCGCCTTGAATACCTTCTATACTCCTTCACAAGGCATGAAAAACCCACTGCAACCATTACATAGGTATCCCATTATTAAATATAATGCCATGAAACTTACATTAGTGCACTAAGGGACATCAACACCTTAACATTACGCTTTCAGGTAAGCCATAACAATTTGGTTCCTAAAAGACTCATTTGGAGCATCTATCAAAGTGCTCGCAATGGTACATGCTGCCTTATTTCCTTGATCAATTTGGTCAAATGAGCAAAACTATGTTGCTCATTTCACAAATCAGCAAATCAATTTTGCTCATTTCACAAATAAGCAAAAACCAATTTTGCTCATTTCACAAATAAGTAAACCAATTTTGCTCATTTCACAAATAAGCAAACCAATACCAACATACTCGAAATTACCAATTTTGAATGCTTTTTCAATTGTATTGAAACCAAGTAGCTCTGATTCTACAGCTTCTCTGTATAGGTTGTCCAATTATACATACATTTGATCTTCTGCAACAATAAGAATGCATCTACTGTTTAGCTTGTACAACATTATTTCATCATTAGCAAAATTAGTTCAAATGAGCAAAGAACATTAAATTGAGCACAATACTATTGTCTCTAACCATTTGAATGACTTATGGTTTATATAAAAAAAATTTGATCAAATGCAAAAAGATCAATTTCAGTTCAAAATCACCAGTTGAAATATATATGCTCATTTATTTCACTTATATGGCTTTAATACTTTGTAAATGAAATTAAAATATGCTCATTTAGGTTTTCTCATTTGATTTTTGATTGCACAACTATTCACCTCGGTTTGCTATATTATACCGGAACAGGTTATGAATATGCTCAATTAAATCTGCTCAGTCATCAAAATTAAAAGTTTAAGTAGAAATCAAGATCAAATTATTATTATTATTATTATTATTATTATTATTATTATTATTATTATTATTATTATTATTATTATTATTATTATTATTATTATTATTATTATTATTATTATTATTATTATTATTATTATTATTATTATTATGTGCATTAAATGCATCAAACTATTCTCATTAATTTATGCTCATTAATACATGCAATGCATTCGACCAAATTCACATCAAATTCGCAATTCCAGTTCATGCAAAGCAATTCGAAAAATTCATTACTCATATTATGAATCAATAAATTAATCAATGGTTAAAATAATACCTGGATTAGATTGTTGAATGATTTTTGAAGAGGATCATTTGCAATAGATTCAATACCGCCATTAATAAGCAACACAAGCTTTTGATTTTTTTTTTTTTTTTGTTTAGTTTATGTACTTCAAAGCTTCAATAATTGTAAAATAAATCTTCAATTTGAATGATTTTTTGAAGAATTGCTAAAATTTTGCGTTTTAATTTTGAAGAAGAAGAGAGAGTACAGAGAACAAAGCCAAATTGAAAGCAAAAGGAGGGAGCCATGCGTGAGTCACATGTTAATTACTAGACGTAATTACAAAAATGTCCTAGGTACATCCGAGTGAACAGAACAAGCTATGCTAATTCAAGTGAAATTAGAGGTAATGTAAAAATTAAAAAGCAAATAATAAGCTTGAATTACTAATTGAACTGAAGCTTACCTTAATCTTCTTGGTTATATAGAGGAAGCTTATTATTTTATAGTTGATGGACTCTAGAGGAAGGTACACTCAGGTGTACAGAACAGGCTATGCTAATTCAAGTGAAATTAGAGGTAATGTAAAAATTAAAAAGCAAATAATAAGCTTGAATTACTAATTGAACTGAAGCTTAACTTAATCTTCTTGGTTATATAGAGGAATCTACTGTCCTTGAATTATTTTATAGTTGATGGACTCTAGTGTACTTTTTGTAGCGAAAATATATAGCGAGACCCACATTAAAAACCAATCAGGAAGCTTGTGTATAGAGGAATTTTTTTGTCATTCATACAGTTGATAAAATGGACTCTAGTTTACTTTTTGTAGTGAGAATATATAGCAAGACCCACAGTAAGAACCAATCAGGAAGCTTGTAAATGTCTATCTATGTGTGGCTTACATACACTTTGTCTATTGTATTCTGTAGAATCTTTTCGATTACTATGTAGTGTAGTTGAAAGAAAATAGAAAGAGTAGATATTTATTTGACCAATTTTTTGAGAACCAGACCCGAGTCCCGTGTCCATCAACCATACTTTGTAGTTCATATCCAACAAAACAACAACCAACATACATGTCATAGTCAAAGACCATCCAACATAGAGATTACTTTCTGGACTACCGATGGACAACTAAGAGGGGCAAGCCCCAATTTTCTATGAATTAGGAGAGAGAAGCTCTTGTTTTAGAGAGAGAAGCTCAGTGAAAAAGAGTAGATTTTTCTTTGAATATTATTTCGAGAACCAGACCCTGATGATCCAAATCCATCAACCATAGTCCGCAGTTCATACCCAAGTAACCCAATAGGCCAGAGGGCATATTCATAGTCTCATAGACCATCCAACACCCCTCGCAACCTCGCAAATTTTAAACTCCTCAACACCACGATTTAAATTCCCCCCTCTCTCTAAAACAACGTTGCAAAGAAAGAAATAAAAGAAAGAATTTAGCGGTGTAAAGGCACAAACAAAGCAAACAACTTCGAAAAATGATGCAAAGACTCTTCCGAGGAGGAAGCATCAGCGCCGCCAAAGACAACGGCGATTCCTCGCCGGAAACTCCTTCACCGCCGTTGCGATCTCCGGCGTCGGAATTTCAGTCGCCGTCGTCTTCTTCGCCGGCGCCGGCGGTCACTGGACCAGCTCGCCCAATTAGATTCGTGTATTGCGATGAAAAAGGAAAGTTTCGATTAGATCCAGAAGCTTTAGCGGTGCTTCAGCTTGTTAAAGAACCTATTGGTGTTGTTTCTGTTTGCGGTCGTGCTCGTCAAGGCAAGAGTTTTATTCTCAATCAGGTTAGTTCTTTTTCATTTTTGTGGAATTAGGGTTAGGGTTTTCAATTAGGGTTTTAGTGGTGTTGGTTTTGTTGTGGAAGGTTGAAGAAGAAGTTTGAATTTAGTTAATTATGTGTTTGAACTTTTGGAATTGTTTGCTTTGATGGAATTTTGAATGCGACTGTTTTACTGAAGAACGGAAAAATTAAGATGATTTTATGTATCTAGGCTTAGCGACTGTTATATTGATTCTAGATAGTGGTGGTTCTTGTGAAGTTTCGATTTTATTTGATATTTTTAACGAGGTGGTTGTGTTGCCAACGTTGCTCGATTGTGATAGTTAGGGTTGATTTTGGGGGTGTGAATGGAGAATGTAATTTGATTGTATTGAGACTATTCCTTTATAATCCTTAAGTAGCACTATATGATGGTGGAAGTGGAGTTGTAAATTATAAGTCAATAATCAGCACCGTGCTGTGAATGTTATTGAGTTTGCTATGACCGCGGTATGAGGCTGCAAGTTATGCAACAGATACAAACTATCTGCATTGCCTGCGTAATTGGCTCCGTGACTATTATTGTGATTAAGACTGCGATAGTAGTCACATTGCTTACACAACTTCCTTTGAGAACCAAATTCTAGCTGTTGTAGGCAATCAAATTATTTCTATAAAGATCAAAGTTCCTTTATTCTGGATTTTCATGCAATTAGATGCTTTATATGGAATGTTGTGATAACTTGGGTAAAATGAATAAGAAAGACAAGAAAATGTGCGACTAGGGTGAAAAACAAATTTTCTATAGGTGGAAAATTACTTTTTTATGGAATGAAAGCCATTTTCCAATTGTAAAGAAATTATGCCACATTTTCCTTTTATTCCTCACTTCTCTATTTTCTCTCTTCTTCCTTCCCCTCCTTTTAACTTCCATTTTTCTATTTCATCATAAGTTTTCCGATAATCAAACGAAGGAAAACCCTTTTCACTTTTATGTTTTCCATAGAAAATTGTTTTCTTTAGAAGATGATTTTCCATAACAAATGTTTTCCATCAAAACAAACGAAGTCTAAGAAAAAATATGGGCTTGATGCGTTGTATTATTGCCGCATATAGAAATGGCCTTAGGCTTTGACACTGTCATTTAATGGCTTGCACCTTTCTTCGAAAAACTTCCTATGTATTTCCATAGATATTGGGCCCTTTTAAACAATAGGTTGTTCATATTTTTTTGGCACGATATATCCTTTAATAGAGTTTTTTTGAAAGCATTTAGATGAGGCATAATGTCTTGCCATTCAAAAGTTGTCTTTGTGGTAGTCTAATCTAGATAGGCTCGGGGTTAGGTTGCTTGCATTTTAACATCCTAAGGGACCATATAGTTGGTGCAATTCATATTTAATGGTGGTGGTTATTATTGTTGAGTCTCTTTCCACATGTTCCATTCACTGATAAAATGATAAGCAACAAGGATTTACCTGGCTTTGATTCCCTCTTTTCATGGACTTGTATATTCAAGAAGCCATTGAGTGCCGTAGATTGTAACTTTGCTACTAATTATTTTCCAACCTAATCAAAGACCACATTTTGGAAGGCCTATTTTACCATCATTATCTCAAGAATCCCATTTAGTAGCCTAAAGCTTTCTCAATTTATTTGCTACTGTGATAGTGCTATGACGTATATTTTCTGTAACATGGTCTGCGATGTAGTTCCCATAAATTATTGTAGGTGAAACTGGAAAGTAATTCATGATGGAGCTGTATACCCTTATGCTAACTTTACGTAGTACACAATGATGACATGAAATTGGATTAATGGTATCTACCAAGCATAATGCCTTGAAGATTTATGGGCCAAATGGTATTGCTGTAGTGCTATTGAAGGATTTTAAGAGTTTCTGGAGTCTGAGTAGATAAATAATCTGTATTAGTTGCATAGATTCAGTAGCAGAAATACATTATGACATTAGTTGGTTCTTAAAAATAATTTATAGCCCTTAGTTTTTAATATGTTGAGAATTCACTGAGTCCAACATTCCAGCTTGGTAAAATGAAAGACATTCTGGGAGACTGTAAGAGGAGGTTGAAGGATAAATGGATTGCAGATTTGTGGAAATTTATTTATATTTTATATTTACTATTTGGTGGCGTACTTGGAAGGAGAGGAAAGGTAAATTATATGGGGAAAGCTTTACCAATTACCCCTACAAGCTTTTCTACTATTATTTTGAGGATGTTGTGCTGTTGTTTTAAACTCTTTGCATGTGTTATCCTTATAAGTTTTTTTTTTTTTTTTTTAATTTTATTTTTATTAGGGTTGTGACATATTTTGGTTTCCTTTGTAATTCTCCCTTTGATTCTTTGTAACCTATCAAAAAGTGAATTAGAACATTTATGATGTGATACTACTTCCTGGAATGCTGCACTTGACTTTGCTGTTTTAAGCCTGTCTTCATAATACCATGATTATCTTTTGTCATCATAGGTAGTTTGCAAGAGAAAATGCCATATAAAGAATCTTTTTTTTTTTTTTTTTTTTTTTTTTTTTTTTTTTTTAAATGATGTCTTCATCTCCCTGTCTAGCATATATGAAGTATCTTATTATCTCCTCCTATTGTCAAAGAGAAATTTTTGAATGTTAGGATGTGTCATCCTTTTTGTAGCGCACTGATGTGTGAAAGTAGAACAATGTAATTTATATAATTGGACCTGATAATAAAGAGCTGCCTGGTGATCACTGAACAATCCAATCTTGCATATTGGTGTTTTACAACTTTGTAATACAATATAATTTTCATGTAAAAAGTAATTCCCTTGTTTTTTTTTTTTTTTTTTTTTTTTTTTTTAATCTTTTATGTTATGAAAGTACACTATTCATATAGCCATATGAGATTGTGTTAGATCCATCTCAATGTGTACTTTATTTAAATTTTATTTTTATAATTTTGCAAATGCATAAATTAAGATATTAATGGTTGTTAAAAAAAAAAAAGATATTAATGGTTGAAGTTCTGCATTGGCAAACGTGAAAAAAAAGTATTGCAAGTAAAAAAAAAAAAACAGAGGCATATGTCCTGCGTAACATCAGGCCTCCTTCTGTACTTGGTTGATTATGGCTTTGCTGCTGAGCTGTATTTAATATCTTAGGCTTAAGCTTAATTGTAACTTTTCTGTAGCTATATCTCTTTGCTTTAGAGAAACATTGAGATGGCAAAGCAAGCTATTGCTATGCATTCTGCATTTCCATACGAAATTGGGCACCGTGTGATAATCTTTGTGTCTTGAGCTTTTGATGCTTACATTAAATTAATACGTGTCTTGACTGCTTGATGCTTATTCTTCATTAAATTTCCTCTTATGTTCATGCTCTTACTCAAGTTGGTTTTCCAAATTTGTATGTCATCAGCTGGTGATCATCGTAATACAAACTACTTTTATTTCATTATATTCCTTTTCTTTCAATTTTGAAATTATTATTTCATTGATTGGTTTACATGGTTCATGTTATTTTAGCTTCTAGGCAGGAGCAGCGGATTTCAAGTTGCATCTACCCATAAGCCGTGCACCAAAGGGCTTTGGCTATGGAGCGTTCCGCTAAAGAGGACTGCTTTAGATGGAACTGAATATAACCTAATTCTCTTGGACAGTGAGGGGATTGATGCCTATGATCAGACGGTTAGAATTCCCTACTTATTGGGTTTGAAAGTAATTTATGTTTGGACTTGATTGTTAAGGGCAATATATTTCACAATACATTTTTGGTTGTTGAATCTCTATCCTTCCATGGCACAAGAAATGAGGATAGAGATATAGAGAGGAGGAGAGGATGATTCAACCATCCCATGAACCAATGATCTGCCTCTCTCTATCTCTGTCCTCCAATGGGCTATGGCACAAGAAAAAAGGAAGAGATAGACTCATAATTCAAAATTGTGGATCATTAGAATAGATGCTCTAAGCAAGTTAGCATTAGTTAATGTTAGGTTTGCATCAAGGGTGGTCTAGCATCAATGTTTATGCTTTTTTTATTTTGCAATTATTTATTTTCTTGAAGTGTTTTAAATATATCCTCTGTTGTAATCGGAGTCTTCTTCAGGGAACATACAGCACCCAGATCTTTTCCTTGGCTGTCCTATTGTCCAGCATGTTCATCTACAACCAGGTTAGAAACATGTCTATTTGTGTTTATTAGCAAGCCATTAATTGCTTGTAGAATGTAGTCCTGAGTCTCCTGACAGAATATCTTGATTTTTCAAGCTGTGTGATATATTGGAGTTTGATATATTGCAAAATTTGAATACTGCTCTTTGTCTATTATATTAGGTTCAGAATTATTATTATTATTATTTTTTTATTTTTTTTTTTATTTTTTGAAAGAAAGCTAATCAATAAATTAAATAGCAAAAATATCCATCCTTACATAGTGGGAAACAGTAGGGGGAACACAATTAAACCAAATTTGCTCGGGATCAAAGGGGATAAATTTTGCAAGATTATGAGCCACCGTATTTCCTTCCCTCTTCACATGGCTCCATTGTAGGCTACTATGCCGTGTACTTTGAGCCATAGCATCACTTAACACCATGTCCAGATCCGTGTTGTGCCTCTCCTCCCTCATGAGTTTTGTGAAAATGACTTGGCAATCAGTTTCTACAATAGCATTGCTGTGTCCGAACTTTGATCCCAAGTTTAGAGCCCAGGTAATTGCCTTTGCTTCCGCTACTTCGACCGACCACCATGCCCTTATTCTTTTGGATGCTGCATATAAAACTGACCCTTCTTTATCTCTCGTCACTACACCCATACCAACCCATATTAGGTTCAGAATATGAACATACAGTACACGTTTATTTTTGTTTCTTGTCAATAAAATTCTTTTGCACTGTTATTCTAGCTGTGTGATTTGTTGGTGTTTGATACATGAAATACATTGCAAATATAACACTGATCTCTGAATATAAGTTATGATTCCAAAATTGGTACATTAATTTTTCCTATATTTGATTCAGATGGGTGGAATTGATGAGGCTGCACTCGATCGTCTCTCTCTTGTAACTGAAATGACCAAACATATTCGAGTGAGAGCTTCCGGAGGCAAGACATCAGCTTCTGAGCTAGGACAGTTCTCTCCAATCTTTGTTTGGCTTTTAAGGGTAATTTCTTTTGTAGCATGACTAGCAACTGATCCAATTTTGTATATTTCTTAGGAATGATCTTGTCAAATATTGCTTTCAGGACTTCTATTTGGACTTGACTGAAGATAATAGGAAAATAACTCCCCGAGATTATCTGGAGCTTGCTTTGAGACCTGTACAAGGAGGTGCAAAAGATGTTTCTGCCAAGAATGAGGTAATTATTGGCAGGAAATATAGAAACAACCATATAATTGGAGAGACTGTTGTTTTCAGCAGTTGATTGGATGTAAATGTTAAAACATTCTGTTCTTTTTGTATTTATTTGTTTACAAAGACTTGGTAAAGTAAAGAATGCTCTTTGTTACATTAGAGTTTAGACACTGTGTTTTATGCTTTGTGTGTATGAATTATGTTGAGAGATTGCTTAGTATGTTAAATTTATTATACATGTCCAGTTACAACTGCTCACCCATAAATGTTATGATGATTAGATTCGGGAGTCAATTCGAGCTCTTTTTCCAGATAGAGAATGCTTCACTCTTGTGCGGCCATTAAACAATGAAAGTCAACTACAGCGCATGGACCAAATCTCAGTTAGTATTCACCTAATTGCTGTTTTTTCATTGTTCTTTAGATAGTCTACTGATACAATATTCACTATGTGCAGTTAGACAGATTGAGGCCAGAATTTAAATCTGGATTGGATGCGTTGACGAGGTTTGTGTTTGAGAGAACTAGGCCAAAGCAAATGGGAGCAACCACAATGAATGGACCAATGCTAGCTGGTATTACACAATCATTTTTGGATGCATTAAATCATGGGGCAGTCCCTACCATTACATCTTCTTGGCAGGTCAGTATTCAGTTATAATATTATGTTTGTGCAATTAGTATAAGTTTTGGCTGCTTGATGCAAGATGTCTCCATTTATATCACTCTTTGATGCAAACAGATATGATTGCCAGAGTTCATCAGTTTCTTGGTGTTGATTTGGGCTTTCTTAGTCAGAGCCTATTTGACATATTTAGAGCAGATGTGATGCTACGTCCATGGTTAATAATACTTCCTCCATTCCACAAATAGTGCAACAATTACCATTTTAGGAAGTTTCACTAATATTGCAACATTTCCCTATTTGCACATGTTTTCTCTCTTTCTCTCTTCTCATCACATGGGTTCCTATCTTTATTCCTCTCTATCGCTCTCTTCTTCTTAAAATCCGTGCCCCCCCCCTCTCCCCATGTTGCATATTAGGGGAACGGAGGAAGTATAATTATACCTATGATTATTTGAATTTGCCTCCTGTAGTTGTTTCTATGGAATTTGCTTTCCTTGTGCATTGTCAGATCTGATTGAGAAGCAAAAATATGTGCAAAAATAACTGTGGTGTGAATATTTGTATTGTGCTTTAAATCACCTGTGGTGTACAAGCATTGCGCAGTGTTGCTGCATTGACCTTCATTTTCATATGATATGATCAATGCTCCACACCTTTAGGCACCCAGGAGATATCTATTTAGTAAGTAGGAGGGTAAGGAGTGGTCCTGTCTGTCCTGTCTATCTCTTGATGGTATAGTTTTCAGATTGTAGGTTTAGATCTGAAATAATTAGCTATTTGTTCTCATGGTGGATTGGTGGTGTACTTCACATTCAATATGAATTACTTGTGCATCCCTGTCATATGTGTAATCTCTCATTTCCATTTTATGATACTTTTTTAGGCTTTTTCTTTTCCTTTTCCTTCTAACTTCCTCTGTTCTACAAAATTTGAAACATAGGGGGATGCTCAGATTATAATGAGAGAGGAGAGACAAATGAGGGAAGAGATGTAGAGAAACATTAGCCAAATTAAGTAAATATTGCAATAATTTTGCAAATTCCAAATAGGAGAGTGTTGGCAAATTTTGAAGACGAAGGAAGTATAATCTTCTTAAAATTGTGGGATCTAAGTAGAGTCAAAAGTGACAGTCAGAGTCATATAGCTTACTAGTAGAATATTTACTCAAGATATTAATTTTCTAATTCACTTTATAACTAAAGTTTCATTTTTCTAATATTTTTATTCAACTCTCCTTTTTCCTTAGCTGAAATATATTACTCCATCCTTCCCCAATTGTTTGCTCCATAGTCATATTTTATTTTATTAAGGTTTTATTGAGTGGAACTGATGAGAGAGAAGAGTTGTGGGACCTAAAATTAATTTTGTAAGAGTTTAGTTGTCCCCCATGAGTGATGGTATGGGGTAATATTTTAGGGACAGCTTAAAAAAGATAATGGGGCAAACTATAAGGGACGAAGGGAGTATATGGTAAAGCATTTCTAGTTCGGTTGTTATCTCCCATTTCTGCAGTCTGGTTTATATTTGCAATGATAATCTGTATTAATTAAAGCTAAATGCTTTGTCTAATGCATCAACTCTTTATTCTGTAGAGTGTTGAAGAATCTGAGTGCAGAAGGGCATATGATTCCGCTACTGAAGAGTATATGTCCTCTTTTGACCGTTCTAAGCCAGCTGAGGAAGTAAGTTTGGTTCCGAATATATATATATATATATATATATATATATATATATATATATATATATATATATATATTTTGTATTAATTATTTTATTTTTTTTTATTTTTTTATCGCGTCTCTGTTACATATTTTTTAATTGTTTTGGTTTTTAGGCAGCACTAAGAGAAGCACATGAAGTGGCTGTACAGAAGGCCTTGGGTATCTTTAATGCTTGTGCTGTGGGGGCTGGTCCAGTTAGGCAGAAATTTGAGAAGCTACTCCAAGCATTCTTTAAGAAGGCTTTTGAGGTACTTAATATACGACTTGCAATTTCTATTTACTGTACTTGTTTCTTCATCTGCAATAATTTTTTTTAATGCCTGGAGTACTGACTGCATCCATTGGAGGTGGGCTACTGCAGATATAGTGTTTGAATCACTTATTAAGTGTTCGGTAGTATAAATTGTTCCTGAACTGATGTTCGGCAGTATATTTAGCAGCAGACAACTTGGGGACAGTTAAATTTTTTTGACTTATATGATGTTCCAATTTTTTTAAAGGTCTTTTTAATTTGCTATTTCCGATAATCAAAGAAGTGGTATGTTTGATTATTTTTTGAGCAATTGCTTCTGTAAAATGCTATATCATTGTTGGTGCTGTAAAATTTCAGTTGTACACCAATGGTGTTAAATAATTTGATTGTGACAAGACTTTATTGTAGACTGTCAAACATGTTGATCGGGTCTAGATTTTTGGGTTTGCTTTGCCGTTTGATATTAACGTTTAGTATGATCTTAAAATATTTACCCTGGTTAAATCATTTTTCTCTCAGATAGTAAGGTTGGGTTGTCTTGTTGGGTCTAAATTCACTGTAGTCACACTAATTTTAATGCGCAATCTCAATATTTGGGTGAGATTTTTGAGCTATAATTTTGTGGGCTTTTGAGATCCTAAGTTTAGGTTGGATCATTTTTTGGCTTTTAGATCCTTGATTATTTTACTGTCTATTCAGGATTACAAAAGGAATGCTTATATGGAGGCAGAGATGAAATGCTTGAATGCTATTCAGAATATGGAAAAGAGATTGCGAGCAGCTTGTCATTCTGCCGATGCAAAGTTGGAGCAAGTCTTCAAGGTGATTTGTTTTTGTAGCTCTTACTCTTTTCATCTGATGGCTGTCTTTATAAATTTAGAAATTCCTGCACAATCCTTTTATTCTAATTTTTATTTTAAATATTTATTTATTTATATATAATTTATTTTGTGCATCTCTATGCTTACCTTGTTTAATTCCATCTTTATTGTCTATTAATCAAACTTCTGGCTGCTGCTCTCCTGTTTCTTCACTCGGCCCCTTCCTCTCTGTGTGTCGTAGACAACACATCTGAGACTAGTTTTGTAGGATTACTAGGTCTGTCTCAGACAGTTTAATTGGTTAGAATGGAGACTTGAAATGGCCGTCTCCATCTTTTCTATTTGATGGCATTTAGGAATGGTACATAAAGTTTTGAGGTACATAAATTCTTGTATTGTAGATAGTATTAGTTTGTAACTCCATCCTGAAACCTTATTACATAATAAGTTCAATCCCGGATGGGTTTTCTTGGGGTATATCCCTCAATACTCAAAGCTTCATATTCAATTGTCAGTCTAATTTTTGTCAAAGTTCAGAACCTCATCTCATTGGGCAAGTAAAATTTCTGATTTGCAGTTTTGCTAAGGTAGAACATAAAGTAATTCCTTCAAGGGCTGGGTTTGGTCTAGCTATGTTTTGTTTACAGGGTAGTGACAGGGATTCAAAAATGTAAAGAGTGGGTGTAGAGAGAGAGAGAGAAAGAGAGATCCAGAAGATCTTTCAGATTGTGCTGCAGTTGTCGCGATAAAATTTGATTTAAAGTCTTTTTAGGTTTTTATAATTTTTTTACGCTATTATAATTATTGGAGTATACTTTATCTGTTCACCTTTAGTTGCTACACACCTACTCTTAAAAATTTACAATATCATATTCTTACAATTGACCTTAATTATTAATTTATATGTTTAGCAAAATATAATCATGTGGGATCTTGATAATTCATACTCCGTATTATTAATTCAAATATTCTGTCATATCCATTCCAATCTAAGATATTTGGATTGCAAAATTTGAATTCTAAATTCTACCAAAAATTATGTCAAATCCATTCCCACCCTTATATTTACAAATTACACCCCCCCCCCCCCGGTTGAAAAAAAAAAATGCAAAGGGGATCCTTCTGTCCCATACTCCCGTCTTTAAGTTTGCATCTTAATAGAAGGTGAAGCTGGAGGGAAAGGTGGGGGGGGGGGTGGTGGTGATTATTGGTTTTGGAAAGATGTTCGTGATAGTTTTGGTCATTGCGTAACCATCAAAGTACTCAAGGGCGTTTAAAGATGCTTCTGCCATGGCAGGGAAGGAAAGGGGGGAGAGGGTTGAGGCTGATATGTGCAACCTTTCCCCCTTTGACATTAGAGAGGTTGTAATAAAAAACAACCGTTTAACATCTCCATTTTAGTTTTTATTTTGTCAAAAGAGTTTGGGATTAGATTGAATGATTACGCATTCATCAAAGCAATATGGAAAGGGGGGAGGGGGTTGAGGCTGATATGTGCAACCTTTCCCCCTTTGACATTAGAGAGGTTGTAATAAAAAACAACCGTTTAACATCTCCATTTTAGTTTTTATTTTGTCAAAAGAGTTTGGGATTAGATTGAATGATTACGCATTCAACAAAGCAATATGGAAATCAAAATTTTGGATTTTGCAATCCAATTCCAGATTCCTATCCAAATTGTTTATTTGATTTTATTTTGGGACTTTTGGATAATTGCTCAACCCCTTTTTAGTATTCTGACCATTCAATCATACCATCATGTTGGAGATCTTTTTGTTAATAGTGCTATGGTATGTAATTTTCTATAGTGTACCGGAATTCAAAAGCTGCTACTTGTTTGTGCTCTATGTGTCCTACTGTTTAAAGAAGATTAAAGGAAATATGTTTAGCTGCCTTTTGATGTTTGCTGCTTATGTGCGTTGATACATTAGATTTTGTGGTGGCACTTATTGTCATGACATGATGTTGTTTGCAAGTGGGTGCACAAGTGCTTGTTTCACTACATCTATACATTCTTGCAATCTTGCATTTGGAATTCTGACTTTGAGAATATTTCGATATGCAGATCCTTGATGACCTTTGTTCAGAATTTGAAAAGTCAACTTATGGTCCTGAAAAATGGCATAGACTAGCAAATTTTCTTCTGCAAAGGTTTGCTCTCCTCTTTTCCTTTGAAATTTCTTAGTGTCGACTGGGCTAACTAAACTTTAAAGTTTTCCAGTTTGGAAGGTCCAATTGCAGACCTTGTCAGGAAGCGAATTGATCAGGTCACATCTGAGAAAAGTTCCTTAAGTTTAAAGTGTCGATCTATCGAAGATAAGATGAATATGCTCAACAAACAGTTGGAAGCAAATGAGAAGTCAAAATCTGAGTATATGAAGCGTTATGAGGATGCTATAAATGAAAAGAAGAAGGTTGCTGATGAGTATATGAGTCATATAACTTCTTTGCAGAGTAAATGCAGCTCCTTGGAGGAAAAATCTTCCGGCCTGTTGAAATCTCTGGAGTCTGTTAGGCAGGAATCTTCTGATTGGAAAAGGAAATATGAGCATGTCCTATCAAAGAAGAAAGATGAAGAAGAACAAGCGAGTGCTGATAGAGATGTTCTCAAGTCCAGAACTAGTGCTGCAGAAGCAAGATTGGCTGCTGCTCGTGAACAAGTTCAATCTTCTCAAGAGGAAGCAGATGAATGGAAGAGGAAATATGATATTGCTGTTCGAGAAGCTAAAGCAGCTCTTGAAAAGGCAGCTGCTGTGCAGGAGCGTGCAGATAAGACTAGGCAATCACGGGAAGATACTATTAGAAGTGAATTTTCCAGTAGTCTGGCAAAGAAGGTCTTTATTATTTTTTGTCAAGTTATAATGGTTTTCTGCCTTTGCTGTCCTGTGCTATTTAAACATAATTTTTTTTTTTTGACAGGATATTTACAAATTAAAATAACATGTAGTTGTAATTATAAGTTTTACAACAGAATTATAGTGAGCTCAATATTCACATGTTAATCTTTCTACTCATTGTTATGTTTATAGGAAGAGGAAATTAAAAAGCAAGCAGCAAATATTGAGCATGCGGAGCAGCGATTGGCAACTTTGGGTTTTGAGTTGAAGGTATTTTTTAAACCCCAAATGAAATTGAATTGAAGGTATCTTGTATAGCTTGTTTTGAATTAAAAAATAATCATTAATACTTGCAGATATATGGTTAATTCCTTGATTTATTTTAGGTAAATACTGAATAATAACCAGAATATTCTTGTGAGTGTTCTTTGGTACTCTATTGACCTCATGAACTAATCCCATTGGCTTGTTGATATTAGCATTTTATGTTTTCTTTGTTATATAAGTTCATTTATTAGATTTACATTCTTTCCCTCAGGCTGCTGGATCCAAGATAGCTAGCTATGAGCTTCAAATAGCAGGCATGAGAAGTGACATAAAGGAGTTGAATGAGAAGCTGAATGCTGCAAATGCTACCGCGCAATCATATGAGAGAGAAGCTAACACACTTGAGCAGGAGAAAATACATCTGGAACAGAAATATCAGTCTGAGTTCAAGAGGTTTGATGAGGTGCAAGAAAGATGTAGAGTTGCTGAAAAAGAAGCTAAAAGAGCTACTGAGGTGGCTGATAAAGCACGATTAGATGCAGCTGCTGCTCAGAAGGAAAAGAATGAAATTCAGCGGACTGCTATGGAAAGATTGGCCCATATTGAGCGGGCTGAGAGGCAAATTGATCACTTGGAGAGAGAGAAAAATGATCTAGCAAATGAACTGAAAACACTCCGTACATCCGAAACGGATGCCAATGCTAAAGTAAGACTGCTGGAGGCTCAGGTTGAAGAAAGGCAGAAGGAAATTGAATTGCTGATGAAATCTAACAGTGAGCAAAGAGCTAGCACTGTTCAAGTACTGGAGAGTCTTCTTGAGACCGAGCGTGTTGCTAGGGGTGAAGCAAATCGCCGAGCAGAGGCACTGTCTCATCAGCTGCAGGCTACCCAAGCTAAACTTGACCTGGTCCAGCAAGAGCTGACATCAGTTCGTTTGAATGAGTCTGCCCTTGATGCCAAGCTGAAGTCTGCCTCACATGGGAAGCGTTCCAGGGTGGATGAGCATGATGTGGCAGTGGACTCTGCGGGGGATATGGATGTTGATAAAGCAAGGGCAAGCAAAAGAAGAAAAAGTACAATCAGTCCACTACAGCAAGCAGCCTCAGCAGGTGATTGTGATTCTGCTTTTACCGGTGATGATGATGAAAGCAGTCAGCAAAATGACACGCAAGACTATAGAAAGTTCACCATTCAGAAGCTCAAGCAAGAGCTCACTGAACATAATTTTGGTGATGAGGTGTTTAAGCTTCGGGCCCCTGCTAAGAAGAAAGATTATATTGCTTTGTATGAAAAATACATCCTGAACAAGTCCTGATCAACCGGTTAACGTTGCTAGATTTGGACAGAAGATTCAGCTCTAGTTCAAGTTTCTTTTTTGTAGCTGAGCTTAGTCGGGGAGGGCTAGTAATTCTCTGGATACAAGGGTTTTGTGCTCATATACATTGCCTCTGACCTGAAATCATTCTACCGTTTCATTTTGGTCTTTCTGGGAGAGTGAGACAGGAATATCAGTGGTGAAATTGCCTGGTTTTGCTGTAACTACTGTAGGTCTAACATTAAGGAGCATGATAATGTATATTCTTTTTAGGGTCAGTTAATTTCTGCAAGAAACAGTGTTGCCAAATTATTTTCATTGCTTTTCTCTGAAGTGTAGGTCTAACGATTTGAGGGAGTTGCTCTTTCAGGGCATTATGTTAGTTTCATCCAAAACTGATAGTAGATTTGCTGTGTTATGCGTGTTGATTTATGTTAAAAGATTAAAACTGTATTCCTTGCTGATTCAGTGAACGTTCAATCTGGTAAAGTATGATGATTTATTTATAGTTGACAAAATTATGTCTTGCTTAATCGAGTGTAGAATGGTAACAGGTTTTGTGGTTTACTCTCTGGTAAATCCTTGAGTTGTTTGCTTGCTTCACTTATGTGCAAGTGCACGTTACAAGGATGTGTTGCTTGTTGCATCCAGGGGCTCCTTAGTGCAAATTAATAGTAATCAAAATGCATGATTCATGCTTGGAGTTGGCAACCATAGCTATATTGGTACTCCGTAATATTGAATAAATTATGTGGGCCTATGTGCTAGGGTGATGGCGGGAAAGAGGGTCGAAAATCTCGAAATACAACCAAAATTGAATAAAAGCTAGTAAGATTATTACTGAGGAATAGTCATCAGCCAAAATTAGGAAAATCTTCGAACAGTGGAGAATGTTACTGTCAATGTTCAGAGAACATTAGGTGCATCCATGTTATTTACTCCTTCTGTCCCTATTTTTTTTGCCTCATTTGACTTTTCACGGTGTTCAAGACGCGTCTTAAAACGCACGTATTTTCATTTCCATCAACATAAAAATTATAAAAATGTAATATTAATAAAATGTGCAATTAGGCGAATCTAACAAGATCACTCATGATTATATTATCTTTATAAGATTAATGGTAATTTATGGTCAAAGTTTATAATATTTGACCCAACAAATGACATTGGGGCAAAAATAAAGGGACAGAGAGAGTATTTATCTATTTATTTTTTAATGAGCAACGTTGATATTACATTATTTTATCTATTTATTTATTTTTTTGACAAGAAAAACTATCAAACAAAATAAAAAGTCAAAAAGAAAAATATAAAAGCTGACGACGTCTCGCTGTCGTGGCCAACCAATGAGCTGGAGTAATCCAAGAACGAGGGACCTTTCTAATTATGCACAAAGTAAGACTCAAAATAGCAAACTTGATATCACGGAATAGCCAATTAGCAAAAATAGGAATAGACCCCGAACCACATAGCAAGGAAACCAAGGTAGACAATCGGTGTACATGAGAATACCATTGTAACCTTTTCGAATACCCATTTGGGGTGCACAGAGACACGCTTGTAATTCCGCCTGAAGAGCTAAAGCTAAGTGACGAGCCCTTGCGCCACCTTTAAGAACCTGCGAAGAGTCAATCCTTCGAAGAATCCAACCCATACCAGCACAATTATCCGACGAAGACCATGCGCTGTCGAAAATTAGACACAAATCCACAGAATCCGAAGAACTTCCCCGAAGACAATGAACAGAATTTGGAGGAGACGTGTCCCTATCATGATGCAAAAGACAGGATTTTTGTTTTACCTCATATACCTGAGAATTCTTAGCAACCCACTTCGCTGCTATCTCCGATAGCATATTCGAAGAAGAAGAAGACCGATGAAAGCGAACGTTATTACGAACCAACCAAATCGCCCAAAGTTAACCAAAAACCAAGCCAAGTCGTCCCAATACTTGAAGGAAGTGAAGAGGGAGATAACAGTGGTAAACCAAATTAGAAAAGGTTCAGAATGTAAAGAGTTGCGATTAAAACCCAACGGACCACAGACTCAAAAACAGCTCGACAAAGGACAATCCCTAAAGAGATGAGATACTGACTCTTGATCCTACTGACAGAAAACACAAACAGTGTCCACTGGTAAACCCCTGGAACGCAGTTTATGAGTCAATGGTAACGCGTCATAAAAAATTTTCCAACCGAAAATCTTCCATTTAGGAAAAACGGGCAAGTCCCAAAGATGTTTCCACCATGAAGAAGGGACCTGAATAGAAGGAACAATAGAGGAACATTGTCGGATAAGCATCACATATGCAGATTTTGTAGAAAAGGAGCCATCCCTGGTAAACTTCTAATAAACAAAATCATCCATGTTGACAGCATACATGAAGTTTTAGGGTCTCTATCACTCACTATACTTCTTGGCCATCCATGAAGTTTGAACACATTGTCCAAGTAAGCTTGAGCAACTTCAATAGCAGAGTATGAGTGTTTAAGAGGTATGAAATGGGCATATTTACTGAGTCTATCCACAACCACAAAAATTACATTGATGTTCATGGACATAGGCAATCCCGAAATAAAGTCCATAGAAACATCAGTCCATACCTGCTGAGGAATAGGAAGAGGTTGAAGTTTTCCCGGCTTGGCTGATGTGTCATACTTTGAAGCTTGACATACTTGACACTTTCTCACAAATTGGCTCACATCCTTAGTCAACCCTTTCCAATAGAAGAGAGCTTGAAGCCTTTTGAGAGTCTGCTCTCTACCTGAATGACCAGCCTCTAGAGTAGCATGTTGCCAATGCAGTAGCTTTCTTCTTAGATCCTCATTAGGACCAACAACAATCCTTCCTTTCTTTCTCAATAACCCATCTCGAAGTGTGAAGCTTGCATCAGTTTGATTTCCAGCAGGTAGGCTTTGGTAAATTATTTGCAAATTGTCATCCAAGGCATAACTTGTAATGATTGAAGATGCCAAGTCTGAATCTACTACTGATATTGCCAGCAATAGTATATTAGAGCCTTGAACTCTTGACAAAGCATCATCTGCAACATTTTCTTTCCCTGCCTTATATTGAATTTCATAATCAAACCCCATGAGTTTTGAGAGCCAAAACTGTTCGAAGGGTGTTGAAATCTTCTGTTGCAACAGCCACTTCAAGATTTTTTGGTCTGTTTTGACCACAAAATGTGACCCAACAATGTATTGTTCCCATTTTTGCACAGCCAGCACCATAGCAAGAAGCTCCCTTTCATATACAGACAACTTTTGCCACTTTGGACCTAAAGCTTTACTAATGAAAGCAATGGGATGTTGGTCCTGTAGTAACACAGCTCCTATGCCTAGCTTAGAGGCATCTGTCTCAACCACAAATCCCTTACCGAAATCAGGTAAGGCAAGGACTGGAGCACTGGTGAGAGCTCACTTAAGATCATTAAAGGCCTTTTGAGCTGCTTCACTCCACCCAAATGCCCCTTTTTTAGTAAATCAGTCAATGGCTTACTGACAACAGCATACCCTTTTATGAACCTCCTATAGTATCCAGTGAGTCCTAAGAAACTCCTGAGTTCCTTAATGGAGGAAGGGACTGGCCATGAGCTTATTGCATCAGTCTTAGATGGATCAGTTTCAACTCATTTCCCAGTAATGAAATGACCCAAGTATTCTACTTTTTCAGTAGCAAAATGACACTTATTGGCCTTGACATATAGTGAATGCTATTTCATTAATTCAAAAACTTCAGTGAGGTGTTGCCGGTGTTCATCTAGTGACTTACTATAGAATAGTATGTCATAAAAAAAATACCAAAACAAACTTCCTTAGTAAAGGCTTGAATACAACATTCATCCAGCTTTGGAAAGATGATGGTGCATTGGTCAAACCAAAGGGCATGACTAAGAACTCATAATGCCCTTCATGAGTTCTAAAGGCTGTTTTGAAAACATCATTTGGATGAATTCTTAACTGATGATAACCAGCCCTCAAATCAATCTTGCTAAACACCACACTTCCTGCCAATTCATCAATAAGCTCTTCCAGGACTGGTATAGGGAGCTTATGCTTAATTGTGTTTTTATTAAGCTCTCTATAATCAACACAAAGTCTCTAAGTTCCATCTTTCTTTCCCACCAACACTACAGGAGAGGCAAAGGGACTTGTGCTATTTTGGATAATACCCCTTTCCAACATTTCCTTCACTAATTGTTCAATGACATCCTTCTGCCTAAGAGGGTATCTATAAGGCCTGATATTAACAGCCCTACTCCCTTCTTCCAAGTGGATCCTATGATAAAAAACTCCCCTACCAGGAGGAAGTTCAACGGGTTCTTCAAAAATGCAAGAATAAGCTGCTTTCAGCTGCTTAAGTTCCTGTGCTTCAGTTCTCTCTTCACTCAGCTGGACCAAGCATGTAGCTATATCCCTTTCAACTTCACATGTTTGTATCAAACATATCTGAGCAGCCTCATTAAGTAATTTAGCAGATGGCTCTTTATCATAAACTTTCAGTTTCTTACTGGGAACACCTCTTACTTCTAGCCACTGATTATTAACCCAGAACTTCATGGTCAGCTGCCTAAAGTTCCAAGAAATGGAGCCTAAAGTATTGAGCCACTGCACACCCAGTACCATGTCACAACTCCCCAAAGGAATGAGCATAACATCAGTGGTGAAGGACAGACCTCCCAAGGCCCAGGTGAACCCCTTACACACTGAGTCACACACAAGATGGTTGCCATCCGCTACTATTACTGACTGTCCTGGAATTTTTTCCACAATACAACCTAATTCCTCAGCCATGTGACTGTCCAGAAAGTTATGTATACTTCCAGGATCTATAAGGGTTTGGAGAGTTCTTCCCTTCACTACAGCTTGCACCCTCATTGTGTGAAATGTTTGATTTCCAGCTAAGGCAGTTAAAGTGATTTGAGGTTCAGTGTTGATATCAGAGCCCTCCTCAGCTTCCTCTATGTCTATTGCTGCCACATCAGACTCATCTAGACCAGGGATTTCCACAGTAAACAACTGTGGCTCCTTAAATTTGCATTGGTGGTTTCTATTGTAGGGAGCATCACAATAATAACATCACCCCTTCGCAATCTTCTGTGCCCTCAAATCAGCTGGTATGTATCTATTTTTTTGTGTAGGCTTGGTGTTTTGTGGTGTTAGAGGTTTAACATTTGGCAAGGGTAAAAGAGGTGGTTTATGTGTATTTGGGGTAGTAAAGGTTGGGTAGGTTTTAGGTTTAGGGTGGTAGTTGGAGTTTATGGTAATGGACTCATCCTGACATCTAGCATACTCAATAGCAGCTGCAATATTCTGAGATTTAAATGCCCTTACAAAAGGTCTCAGCCCTGGTTTAAGTCCCCCAACAAAACTCTCAAGGAGATTTTCTCCGATAGGAGATAGCCTGATTGCAATAGAATAGACCTTAATTTCTCAAAATCATCCACATACTCCTCAATGGTACTGTGTTGTTGAAGTTTATTGAATTCTTCTACAATGTTCACAGCTTGTTCATCTTTAAATCTAATGTTCACATCAGCCACGAAATCATGCCAGTCTACAAAACTTCTATTAGACAGATAACTAGCTACCCAACTCTTAGCCTTATCAATCATATTTAAGGAAGCTAAATCTACTCTCTGCTCATCAAGAATTTTGCATAGACTGAAATATTTACTGCATTTTCTAATCCAGATTCTAGGGTTCTTACCATCAAATTTTGGAAACTCCAGTTTAGGATTGTATCCCAGCTTTGGTTGATGGCTACGTTCCTCAGGCCTCTGGCCACCAGTTATGACCATGCTCTCTTTCAGCTGCTGCACCATTTGTAGGATGTCATTAATCTTCTGATTTGTTAATGAATCCCCGGTTTCCAAACGTTGTTCCAACGCAGCTACCTGAGCTTCCATTGATGTCACACGCGATGAAACAGTGGGTGCCAGAGTGACACAATCAGAGAATGAGCAGCGGCTGCTCTGATAGCACTGATAAGGATAAATTTATATCCTTAAGAACACTAATATTCAGATAATATTTTCAGAAGGAAAATAAGGAGAAGAAGAATGGAGGTAGACGAATAGAGAAGAAGAGAAGAGATTAGAGAGAGATTAGAGGATATAGTCGATTTTTCATATATGCTCATGCCCTGGGTACATTCCCTTAAGTAGGATTAGATGACCAATTACAACTAACCAAAAGATTCCTTTCCTAACAAATTGCTCTAACAACTTTCCACAGACAGCAAAAGCAGAAAATGACAAAATTTGTTAGAGTTTGTTATTTGCAACTAACTTAACCAACTAAACTAACTTTTATTTAGAAAAATTGAAATTAACATTTTCTTCCTTTATCACTCATCAACCCATTTTGTTTTCTGATCATGCTGCTATTATTTTATTGGACTATGCTTCACAATTTTTGGGAAAGAGGCCATACAGGGTTGATATTACATTGAAAATTAAAACAAAACCCTTTATGTGCACTCTAGATTCACAAGACCGGGATACGCTAGTTTTAATATCAAAGGATATGAGGACGACTTATTAGTTACTGTACAATATATTATTAAAAAAAAAAAGATTTTGTGAAATTTGAATAATATTTGAAATTTTTTCCTTTATCCTTTTTCTGTTTTCTTTTTAATGCAACACACCTTTTTTTTTATACACTTATTTAGAAGTTACTTTTTGCTACTATACAAAACAAAACAAAACCAAAAAAATAAAATAAAAAAGCACATAAATGTTAATCGAAATTAAATCATAACACAAAGAACATAAACATCATTGAAAACACATAACATTAATTAAAGAAATGCATATTATTATACAATTAAGGTACATTATAACATTAAAAAAAAACATTATACATTATCGTTTTACCTGATTGCATGTAGAATTGTAGATGTACATGATGGAGTATATGTTTAGGTCAAAATCTGATTCTCAGATAAGAATAGGTTCAATAGGACAATAGCTACACTAATGAATATGCAAATGCTGAGATAGGTTCAAAGAACAAAGATAAATGATTAAAAGGAGAAGAACAAAGGGGGAAGGGAGAGAGACCATATGATGATGCAGAAAACCCAGGAATAAGGGTAAAAACTGCGGGTGGCTATGAGTTCACCAATCCACTAATTTTAGAGTTTAGTACAAGTACAATATAGATTGTAATAGATCGAGAATATATTTGTAGCTTGGTTGCTACTTGCTAATTGCTATGAAGTGTAACGCTTAGAGATTATTTCATATCCCTCTTTACAAGGCTTCCCTCTATGTTTATAATCCAAGACCCCTTGAAGCTATGCAACGACTCTTTTGCTGATCGATTAGGATTCGAGGTTAGTTACTAAATTCTACTCCTATGCCACATTCCCCATACTTCTCTGCTGCGGTTTGACCCATTCTTTTTGCTAGCAATTAGTTACAGCTTACTGGTCACGAATCTTTTGGCACTCCTTTGGATCTTCTAGAATATTCCTTGGAGAGATCTTTGCATAAATATCTTTGACTTCTCTATGTCAGACCATTGACGTTGTTGGCAGTGGCGGACCCAGGAATTTCCGACTGGTGAGTCACAATTGATAACCAAATATGTAAAAAGAAAAAATTTACCAAAATTCCCAAGAAAAATTATTTACAAAGATCATCCAAATAGAAAATTGACAAGATTACAGTACTAACTAATAATTAACAAGCTTAAAATTGACAAGACTAAAATTAACAAACTAATAATTAACAAGCTAATAATTGACAACATGACAAGCTTAGCTCTCTAATAATTAACAAACTAATAATTGACAAGATTAAAATTTGTACAAGCATTAGGTTCACATTTCATCAAAAACCCAACAACATTAACAAAAGGTTCAAAGTTAGTATTTTTTTTAAAAAAAAAAAACTTAGAAAATAATTTATTTATTTATTTATTTTTTAAAAACTTAAAAAATATTTTGGGCCCTGGTGAGTCATTTGACCCACCAGGCATAAGGCCAAGTCCGCCAATGGTTGTTGGCAACCTGTAACTAGGCAACCTGCAGACATATGAATCTACAGCAATATTTTATGCACAACAGTATATAAATCAGTTTTAGTCTCAATTATGAAGTGATAAAGTTTATGGTCTCAAGATTGGTTTATATAATTAATACCAAACATATGTTTAATTTGAGGTATTATTTTAAAATTCTTAATACTAAACATATGACCCAAACCCATCTCGCTCCTAGGAATTTGAAGGATGAGTTTAAAATTTACAAAATCATAAATCAAATTCAAGATATGAGTTTAAAGTTGTAACTATTTTAAACTCATACAGTACCACAAACCAAAATTCCGTGAACCAACAAACACCCCCTAATAAGTGGAGTAATCTATAGAGTATTGTAGTTATTTGTTGAGAAATCACCTATTTAAGAGAAGTATTGACGCATAGCACCTATTTGTTTTGAAATAAATAGGGTGGTCAAGTTATAAATATTAACATGAGTATAAAGTACCATCAAATAGGTAAATAGTACCATTAAATGTTATAGTGGTATAAATATTTTTCTAATGGTACAAATAAGTATGTAAATTATACATGAAATATTATACCACTGTGAGATATAAAAGTACTACATACTAAGACAACCTATAATCTAATGGTATAATAACATGCATAATAGTATACAAAAAAATACCAATGTAACCATAAAAAGTACCTTTATGAATGTCAAAGGACTATTTTACCCTCCTATGTATTTTGGAAACACATAGGAGCTATGCGCTAAGATGCACTCCGTACTTATAAGATATCATAAAGACGTATTCCAACCCAGGGGCCAGGGCCGCCTTGGGCCCAGGCAAAGAAAAATGATCAATACTTGAAAGAATAAAATGGGCCCATAAGAACGATATGTTAGCGATGAAGTGACAAAAAAATTAAATAAATCCTAACGAGTTAAACAGTCATACTGTATTTGAAATTTTTTAGAATTAAGATTGATTTAGTGGCTGTAGGTCCTCTTTTCATCTCTATTAGAGGATTCGATTCTCTCTCCAAGTTAGTGGGATTTCCAATTTCATTGCCTAGTTGCAAGAGGGTTTTCATCAGGCTCGTAGCAAGGGCAGGGCAGGTGGGGCGTTTGCCCTGGGGCCATTGTTAGGAAGCCTAATTTTAGTTAAAGCCAAGGCCCCTAAAAATACAAAGCTATAAAGAGACAAAAGACTAAAATATTAGTTTTTATCAAGATATGGCGTATATATCAAACGTTTCTTTCTCTTCGGTTTTATTCACCCTTGATTTTCGCACATACTGTAATATCCAGTTTCGAAAACTAAATTTATTCATACCTATAATAATCATTCAACAAATCCACATATCTCACTTTCTTTCCCTCTTTCCAAATTCTGACCATATTCATTGTCTTTTCATATAAATCTCTATTCCCTAATTATATCAATTGAAGATGAAAATTATTATAAACATTGATATATCGTCTCAATTTTCTACAAGAAAGCTTCAATTATATGATATCTAATCCTCCTTTAAAGCCCATGATTCTCCAGTATAATTTTACTTCGTACAATTATTTAATTTTCTTAATTTCTTGGTTTGTTTGATTGGTTCCATTTGTTTATCTAAATTTGGGTGAAAAGTTTCTAAGTCTCCTATCTACACTCTTTCATAGTTTCACCGAATCGCTATCTATTATTGTAAGGTTTATGCTAATTTATTTATTTTTTTTCCATTTTTAAATTTTACAATACCTTTTTTTTCTCATTAAGATAAACTATGTTGTGATTAATGTCAATTTGAATTTTAATTTAGATAAAAATAAACTGATTGAATATTTGAATGCAATTGATGCACCTGTGTAAAGATAGGATTTTGGCGAGAGAAAATGTTAACAAATCAAGAGCGTATTTTTTTTTTTTTATGCTTTAACTCCTAAATTATACGTAGTATATTAGATGGAGTGAGCAAAAGTAAACAAATATTTTTAGTTATTTTCTTTTTCATATTTTTCACAGCTATATATGAAAGAGAAAAGATTTTTTTTTTAATTCATTTTTTGAGAACTTTGTTATCTTTGTCTTTTATTTTTCAAATTGACGCGTGGAGTTAAAATTGAAACGGTTAATCTTTTGTTTTTACAAGTTAAAAACTATGATTATAAAACTAATAGGGCCCCAAATTATATGTCCGTCCTAGGCCATCAAAATATTAGAAACGGGCCTGATTTTCACTACCTAAACAAATAAAATAAATACGGAGTACCATTATGTATATTGTAATTTATTCAAAACTTTATAAAAGTAAATAAAGTAGATTCAATTTATTTTTTTTAAAAAAAAAAAATTGTTTGTACATTAGGTTAACTAAAGTCAAAATCACTTAATGAATAGTAAAAAAGGTCAAATTATTACAATTAAAATGTAAAGATTAGATTCAAAAACTATCTACCCCATAATTTGAAAGGTGAAAGATCTACCATTAGCCTCCTACTTGATCCTCTTATTCATAACGCACACATCAAATCAAATTGTGCTCATGTAATCATGTTAGTCGAGTTGCATTTGTATGACTCTTTACTTTTAATACTCCGTATATATAACAATACTATCATTTAATACTCCGTGTGTGTGTTAATATATATATATATATATATATATATATATATATATATATATATATATATATATATATATAATATCATTTAGTCATATGATTTTGCACTCTTTTCTTTGATTACATGATTAATTGTATCATGAAGAGAATTTAGAAGTTGTACGGAGTTTTGGAAGAAATAAAAGTAAGACAAATATCATTTGAAAAATGTCGAAAAAGACAGAATTTTATCGATAATTTGATGTTTCAAAAAACTTTTTTTTTCTTCTTATTTTAATGTATAAATTGACATTTT